TTGACAAGTGATCCCACGCCTAATGGTATCAGCTAACTCAGGCATATCCTCCATATAGACATTCTTTATGTCAGTGGGCTGCATCTTATCGAAGAGGTGAATGAACCTACATTCAACAGTAGGTATAAAAGAAGTCTCCAGAAACTCTTCGATGACTTGGGGCTCAAAAGATACAACCTTGCCCCTCACCCAGCTTTTCGTAGTCTTCTCCACATCCTCCCGATTCACATTAGCTAGGAATTCCTTCAGAATAGCGCTCGGACTAGGCTCAGTAAAAGTAAATAGCTTTTCCCACTTCCTCATTCTTATCACTTCTAGAATAGGAGAATCTTCAAGAAGTCCTTCCAGATCAATTTTTCTTTCTGGAGTGATTTTCTTAGGCCCGTATCAGTTTTCATATCTCTGTTGGCACTCCAGTGAGATAAACCTACTCTCATCAAAGGCAGAATGTCTAGGCCTCTTGCTGCAGATGCAGCTGTGTTCTTCTTTTGGCCACCATGGGTGTCCTTATTGCTAACCTTCTTTCCCTGAAACTCTGAAAAGTACCATTCACAATTGCAATATTCCAATCAACACAATTCCCAGATTTAAGTTCAGAGTAAGGTTCAGATTCAATGATTTGGAATCATGTAAGACTATTTCAATGCATTTAATCAATGATCACAGAAATAAATCATAGCTCATCCAAATCAAATCAAATATCTCAACATGTAATTAACTAAAGCAATTTCAAACTGATTCAAATCAAATATAGGATGAAAAAGCAATTTCAAACTGATTCAAATCAAATATAGGATGAAAAAGCAATTTCTGGCGCGATTTATGCTGTAGGTTGCGCGATTGGCGCGAGATAGAACATGCAGTGAAAACCCAGCCGGGGCGATATGCGCCAGGTACCGCGCGATCCGCGCGGGCTGGGAATGCGTGAGTTATGGAGAACCCAGCCGGCGCAATCTGCGCCAGACATCGCGTGATCCGTGCGGGCTGGGTAGGATGAACTCCTTCACAAAAATTTGCTTCCTTTCGATACTACCCAAGCACAAACCATATCTCTTTCATATCTTGACCCAAATAAACAAGAATGTCAATATAAAGGGTAGGGGTTTACCTTTTCTCCAGCCATGGATGCAAGAATGAGATGTACTTGAAGAGAGATCACAATGAGAATGTTTCCTCCTTTGATTTACAAAACTTAGAATACAATACGTATGAAGGAAGGGTGATAAAGAAAACCACAATTTTGAAGGAGATGAGTGAAGTGTGAGGAGTTGAGAGGAAATGAGATATGAGGGGATGAAAAGTCTGACGGTTTGGAAGTGGTGGAGTGTGGGGGGTGGGGAAGGGTTTTATTTTTAAATTTTTGTAACCATTTTTTTTTTGTAACCGCACCAATGGCGTGATTTGTAAGTAGGTCAGCGCTGTTCGCGCGGCCAAACAGTGGCGGCCTAGACAAAATGGCGCGGTTGGCGCCAGTGTTGGCGCGATTTGCGCTGACAGTCACAAGCATTTTCATTGAAATGGAGCGGTTGGCGCTTCTACCCGTGCACTTTGCGCGGAAGGACAGTGTCTATGTCACCGAAATGGCGCGGATTGCGCCAAGTCTTGCGCATTTCGCGCTAAAGTACAGTGACTTCCAGGAAAAATGGCGCGGTTTGCGCGAGACACCACGCGATTTGCGCGGTGCTCTGTTTTCCCGACTCAAAAACTAACTATTTCCTTAAAAACTTAAAAGACTCAACAGAAATAAATAAGAAAATGACTCAAAAGTTATTGGGTTGCCTACCAACCAGCGCTTGTTTAACGTCACGAGCCTGACACGGACTCTTTAAGTCTCCAGAGAAAGTAAAGGAACAGCAATTGTGTCTCTATGTATCTCTCCTCCATGATAGGTTTTCAATCTACACCCATTGACCTTGAAAGGTCTTTTAGTGTTGAGAGGGGAAATCTCAACTGTACCATATAGAAAAACTTTTTTTACTACAAAAGGACTAGACCAACGAGACTTGAGCTTACCTGGAAACAACCTCAGTCGAGAGTTGTATAGTAACACATGTTGTCCTCGCTCAAAATCTTTTGGTTGAATGTTCTTGTCATGTCACTTCTTTGTCTTCTCTTTGTAAATCCTAGCATTCTCATAAGATGCTAACCTGAACTCATCTAACTCATTTAATTGCAGTAATCTCTTATCATTAGCCTTTGATGGTTCAAGATTCAAAAATTTAATAGCCCAGAGAGCTCTATGTTCTAGTTCTACAGAAAGATGACAAGACTTACCATACACCAGTTGGAATGGTGACATACCTATTGGTGTTTTGAAAGCAGTCTTATATGCCCAGAGTGCATCATCCAGTTTCTTAGCCCAATCCTTCCTTGAATTGCCCACAGTCTTCTCCAGAATCCTCTTCAGCTCTCTATTTGAGATCTTTACTTGTCCGCTGGTCTGAGGATGGTATGGTGTAGCCACCTTGTGAGTGACGCCATACTTTGTAAGCAAGCTTTCAAACTGCTTATTGCAGAAGTGAGTGCCACCATCACTGATGATCGCACGAGGAACTCCAAAGCGGGTGAAAATGTTCTTCTGCAAGAAAGCAACTACCACCCTTGCATCATTAGTAGGTAAAGCAACCGCTTCTACCCACTTGGACACGTAGTCCACACCAACCAAGATGTATTGGTTAGAATATGACTTAGGGAATGGTCCCATAAAATCAATTCTCCAAACATCAAACAATTCCACCTCCAGTATGCAGTTGAGGGGCATCTCATCTTTGCGGGATATATTTTCCGTCCTTTGGCACTTATCACATTTCTCCACAAACTCTTGTGCATCCTTGAATATTGTAGGCCAATAATATCCACTTCGAAACACCTTCTGTGCAGTTCTGTTGCCTCCAAAATGTCCTCCATAGTCAGATGCATGACAATGCCACAGAATATCTGGCATTTCGAATTCAGCAACACACCTGCGAATAACACCATCAGCACATTGAAAATAAAGGAAAGGGTTATCCCAGTGATACCTCCTTGCATCATGAAGGAATTTATTTTTCTACTGCCAAGTAAAATCATCAGGCATTAATCCAACCGCTTTGTAGTTTGCAAAGTTTGCAAACCATGGACTCGTAATTACTGCCATCACTTGGTCATCAGGAATGGACTCATTAACTTCAATTCCGGGTCCTTCTTGCAAATTCTTATCTTGAATCCTAGACAAGTGATTATCAACTTTATTCTCCACTCCGGCTTTGTCTCTGATTTCAAAGTCAAACTCTTGGAACAAGAGCATCCAACGTAGCAAACGTGGCTTTGCATCCTTCTTGGTCATCAAATACTTAAGAGCAGCATGGTCAGTAAATACAATAACTTTAGAACCTATCAAATAAGATCTAAATTTATCTAATGCATAAACTACTGCTAGCATCTCTTTTTCAGTAGTGGCATAGTTGGCCTGTGCCTCATTAAACTTTGCTAGCATAGTAAATAACATGCAACAACTTGTTCTTATGCTGACCAAGTACTGCACCCATGGCGTATGCGCTCCCATCACACATGAGTTCGAATGAAAGACTCCAGTCTGGCGCCGTCAGCATAGGCGTTGTGGTAAGCTTTTCCTTCAACACATTGAATGCATTGAGGCAAGCTTCATAAAAAAGAAACTCATTTTCCTTCACCAACAGTTGGCTAAGAGGCTTTGCAATCTTCAAAAAATCCTTGATGAATCTTCGATAAAAACCTGCATGGCCTAAGAAACTTAGCACACAATTAGCATTGGCATTAATTGGAAGTTTTTCAATTAACATTAACTTAGCCTTATCAACTTCAATGCCCTTTTCAGAAATTTTGTGGCCTAACACTATACCATCTCGTACCATAAAATGGCACTTTTCCCAATTTAAAATCAGATTTGTTTATTGACATCTTTTCAAAACCTTAGCCAAATTAACTAAGCATGAATCAAAACAAGAACCAAAAATAGAAAAATCATCCATAAATACATCTAAACATTTTTCTACCATATCAGAGAAAATAGAAAGCATACACCTTTGAAATGTCGCGGGTACATTGCAGAGGCCGAATGGCATTCTCCTATAGGCAAAAACTCCAAAGGGGCAGGTGAAAGCAGTCTTCTCTTGATCCTCTGGTGCTACTGGAATTTGGTTATAGCCAGAATAACCATCCAAGAAACAGTAAAAAGAATGACCGGCCAACCTTTCTAGCATTTGATCAATAAAAGGAAGGGAAAAATGATCTTTCCTTGTAGCATCATTCAACCTTCTATAGTCCACGCACATCCTCCAATCGGTAATGGTTCTGGTAGGGATTAACTCATTCTGCTCATTTCTCACAACAGTCACTCTTCCTTTCTTTGGAACTGTCTATACTGGACTTACCCATGTAGTGTCAGAAATTGGATAAATCATTCCAGCATCCATGAGCTTCACTACTTCCTTATGGACTACTTCCTTCATTGTGGGATTTAGTCTTCTCTGCGGCTGTCTCAGGTTTAACATTGTCTTGCATCAGGATCTTGTGAGTACAGAAAGAAGGGTTGATGCCCTTCAAATCAGAAAAAACCATCCAATAGTTGTCTTGTGCTCCTTGAGTACTTTCAATAGCTTCGTCTCTTCATCCGTAGACAACTCCTTATTGATGATGATAGGATATTGCTTTTCATCTCCCAAGAAGGCATACTTCGGAGTTTCAGGTAACTCTTTTAACTCTGTTTTTGGTACCACTGTGGCTAAATCATTTTCTTTCTTTTCTAGTACCTCAAAAACAACTTCTACTTCTTCTTCTGGGGTAGCTTCAGCGTGAGACTTCAACTCTTCTCTAAGCTCTTGATCATCAAGTTTTTCTTCTTTGAGCACCTCTTCAAACACATCAAGTCTGAAGCAATCACTTTGATCAGATGAGTTCTTCATGGCATCAAAAACATTGATAGTGATGGTCTCATCATTCATCCTCAGTTCGAGCTTCCCTTGCTCTACATCAATAATAGCTCAAGCTGTGGCCAAGAACGGTCTTCCCAGTAGGAGAGGTATTTCACTCTCCTTCTCCATATCCAGCACAATGAAAACAGCAGGGAAAATGAACTTGTCAGCTTTGACAAGGGCATCTTCTATGACTCCATTAGGTATCCTCAAAGAACGGTCAGCAAGCTGTAGAGAGACCATGGGTGGCTTCAACTCAGAAATTCCTAATGACTTGCATATTGACAATGGCATCAGATTGATGCTTGCTCCAAGATCGCAAAGTGCCCAGCTAACATTGGTGTTGCCTATGGCAATTGGGATGTTGAAACTTCCAGGATCTCGAAGCTTTGGTGGGAACTTCTTCTGTATAATGGCACTGCACTCCTCAGTAAGTGCTACTGTCTCACAATCCTGCAACTTATGCTTTCTAGACAACAAATCTTTCATGAATTTAGCATAGTTGGACATATTTGTTAAAACCTCAGCAAAGGGAATATTAACTTGCAACTTTTTAAACATATCTAAGAACCTGGCATATTGTTGCTTTTGTGCTTGTTGCTTGAGCTTCATAGGATAAAGAGGTTTCTCAAAACGAGAATAATCCATCAGCTTCCTGGAGCTTCAGCAGGTTTTTTCTTTTCCTCTTCTTTTCCTTTCTCTGCAGGCTCTTCTTTCTCATTTGCAAGTGTTTCCACCTCTTTTTCGTGCTCTGGCTCAATAACTGGTTCATCAACTTTCTTTTTCTGAGCCACATTTGGCTTGTCTTGAGGAGTAATCACAATTCCACTTCTTGTAACAATTGACTTGCAGTCTTCCTTTGGATTGACTATAGTTTTACTTGAAAATTGCCCTTGATTTCTCCTAGCTAATTGTTTTGAGAGCTGTCCAATTTGAGTCTTCAAATTTCTGATTGAAGCATCTTGATTCTTATGGTAGGCTTTTGTTTCATTCATGAAAGCATCAGTAGTCTGGATATGATCATTAGTGGTCTTAGAAAGCTGCAACATTGCTTTCTCCAATTCTGATGGCTCTTTATGTGGAAGATGGGGAGGTTGCAGGTAATTGTTGGATTTATAATCCAAACCTCCCCCTTGATTTCTCCTTTGAAAGTTGCTTCCTTGGGCACCATTCTGATTCCTCTGAAAGCTTTGGGTATTCTGTGGTGGCCTTGGATCATACCAAACTCCATTGACCTGGAACGGTTCAGCTCCCATGAGTGTTAGGCACTCATTAGTCTCATGCTCCCTTTGCAGTACTCACAATTAAGTAAATTAACTTGAGCCGTAGAAATGTGCATCTTATCCAACTTAGTATTCATGCTAGCGAGTTGTTGAGATATAATCTTTTGTTCCGCTAATGATGCTTCATTGTTCCCTAATTGCAAGATTCCTTTCTTGGGCTGAACAGGTTGAACTGCCATAGATGCATTCTCATTCCTCGCCATAAAGTCAATCAGCTCCAAAGTTTGAGCTGTTGTTTTCTTTCCTATGGTCCCACCAGCTGCACCATTAACAACCATTCTGGATTCTGGCGTCATCCCATTATATAAGACTCTGACCTTCTTTGTGTCTGATAAATTATATTGGGGGCACTTCCGGATCAATTCCTGGAATCTGGTCCAGGCTGCACACAAGTTCTCTCCCGGTTGTTGAGTGAAGTTGGTAATTTCATTTACCAACTTGTTGTACTTTTCCATAGAAAAGTGCTCAGCAAAGAATTTAGCTGCCAACTCCTCCCATGTTCTGATGTTGTTGGGAGCTTGTCGATCTAACCATCTGAGAGTTTTCCCGATCACAGCAAACAGGAACAACCGGAGTCTGATTGCATCATCTGATACTCTGTGGTGCTTGGTTGTATCACAGATTCTTAAAATTCTGTGTATGAAGTCATGAGAATCTTCATAGTCTTCCCCACCAAACTGAGTTTTCTCCACCAATGTGATCAGTGACGGATGGATGTCATAGTTGTTGGCATCTATCGGTGGCCTGACAATGCTGGAATTTGGCCTTGTAAACAATGGAGCCAAGATTGACTCCATCAACTCATCTTACGGTGGTGGATCTTGAGCTTCCATCTCTGTTTCTACTTCAAATTGTGAAGTAGAAGTTTCTGCTTGTTTCCTCTGCTAGGTAAGTTGTCTTATCCTTCTTACAGTTATTTCTACCTCTGGATCGTAGATCAAATTATCAAGATCAACGGTACCACACATAAACTAAAGCAAACAGATTAGTAACACAAAAATCCAATCAAGAAAATTAAAAGTTATTAATAAAATTGGCGTATTCAATCCCCGGCAACGGCGCCAGAAACTTGTTGCGAAAAATCGGCAAGTGTTCCGATCGTTCCAAGTAATAAAATGATGAGTAGAGTATCGTCTCCACAAGGATTGAGGCACCGAAGTTATTATAACTATTCCTCTCTTGTTGGATTAATAAAAATGGTTTAAGAACAATTGTGGTTTGTGAAATAAATGAGAACAATTCAAGAAAATGTAAATGATTCAAGAGTCTTTTAGAATTCAAGAACACGAAATAAAGGTTGAGAAAATATTGCGATAAAGAGACGCCAACACCTTTATGATCTCCACCTTGCAACTTGGATTACATTTACTTTTACCTATTCATTTGACTCAAGAGTAAGACTTATAAGTCTTACTCTCCATCCTAACCGTTGATTTCTGTCCATCCAACAGTTATAATTTAGGAAGTTATATTAATTAATTAATTATTAATTATACTATTAATGACAACCGTTGATTTCCGTCCATCAACGGCTGGGATTTGGAGTAAGACTTAAAAGTCTTACTCTGGAGTCAAAAGAACCCTCCATATATATATATATATATATATATATATATATATATATATATATGTATATGTGTGCACGACGCGTGTTTTTCAAAATAACATTTTTTTTTTTTTTGTAAATAAAGAGGGGCTAAGCCCCAGAAACAGAAAGAAATTACAAATCAGAAACTAACAAGCTAGACATATTTCTAGCATCAGCAACTATAAGTTCCATCAACTGAGGAGGAGGATCTATATTATATTATCTACATTTATAAACTTTTATATATTCCTTAGCGTGATTTCCTCTCTTGAATTTTACTTGAACTTTCTTATATTATCTACATTTATAAACTTTTATATATTCCTTAGCGTGATTTCCTCTCTTGAATTTTAATATATATTATAAAATTATATTTAAATTTTATATTTGTGTTTTGAGCGAAAAAATCTAATAATTATATTTAAAAAATTATCCGACTAATGTAAAATCTGAATTTTGCAGGACTTAGTTGTTATTTTTTCATCTTTTACTTATATTTCAAGAAATTAATTTTTTTTAAAATGAGACATTTTGTAAATAAATTGTTTAGGGTTATACATGCATATATACATACCTCATTAATATATCTATTATTTGGCCAATGTCACATGTTCCATAGGTAATACCTCATTTTGAACGGTGCAACGTAAACTTTACCATTCTCTAGGCCTAATTCATAACTCGGATGAAGACAGTGATGTAGGAGTGAGCTCACACAAGTTAGCGAAAGACCTTGTAGCTTTCATTTAACAAAGCATCCAGCGATTGAATGATGAACCGAGGCAAGCTCTCCACGATGCTTCCATCAAGTGTCGATTTTCTAGAAGAAAAAGCACTGATATTCTGAGGAAGTGCTAGTTCACGTAAGTCATACAACTCTTTCAAAGATATACGTTGAGAATAGCTTAACCCATCAAATAGAATATGTAGCTTGGGTTTCCCACTGTCTTGTCCTCTGCTCTTAGAATGCCTTAGGTAATACACTGATCTCATGCAAAATAACTCGTTGGGTAGATTCTTAAATTGTATACCATTCCTATCTGACCATTCAATATTGTTGAGGTGCCCAATGGATGAGTTCAACATGTCCATTCCAGGGTTTGTTAAGTTTTGCTGCCTTATTTCCTTTGGTAACACTGAAGATTCCTTGGAACCTGAGCATCCATCGATAAGAAGGTAATGAAGACATTTTATATGAATCTCACTTCCAATGCTCATGAGTTCTTTGCACCCAGATAGAATCAAAGCAACTTGTTGTTGGAGAGACAAAATATATGGATGATTGTGTAAACAGCTGTCAGAGGCATCCAATCTTGATCGGAAATATCCCTTGGAGAGTGAAAGCAACAGTTTGTATATAATAAGGTCAATAATACTCTTTCAATTCACAAAGTGCAATCATCACTTAAGAAAATCCTCAATTTTGAATAAAATGATAGTAAGAATCAAAATATTACAATTGTATATTTACCTGCACTCCCTGCAAGAGTTCTTTAACATGGCTTGGCGGCATAGAAAGCTCAACATGCAAAGGGTAATAAAGTTTGAGAAATCTTAGACGACGCATCTTTCGAAAAGTGTCAATACTCAAGGTTAAATCTCTAATTTGAGAAACATCTATTTGGATGGCCTCCATCTCATCAGTTCCCTGAAAAAGTGAGAATAACATCAACCAAGATATTTTCATACTAGCTGAAATTTCTGTACAAAAACACTTATAAGGGAAGATAGTGTATCGTTATTTTACCTGGTTATTTCTCAATACAGCATAGACCTCCTCGTTATCCCTCAATCGGCTGCGTCTTTCAGGATATTTGATAGATTCTTGACGAACTATTTCACAACCCATTTCTTGTATCCAATCATGCATTTGTATTCTATTGTCATTTGAAATAGTTATAAGAGCTTTCCGTTGGAGAGCCTCTATTCCACTAGCTCCATAGAAACCCCAAGCATCTAGGAGCCTTATGACATAATCTTTGTCTTCTTCTTTGAAAAAGAATGCAATATCTAGAAAAGCATTTTTCTCTACTTCATGTAGTCCATCATAACTGAATCTCAACAGACTTTGAATTTTCTCATTGGGATACTTCTTGAGTTTTCTTAGTGCACACTTCCATGTATCTTCACTTCTGGAATGGAAATCTGAACCCAAAACTTTTAAAGCTAATGGATTGCCCTTGGCATAATCAACTACTTTTTTAGATAGCTTTTCATATCCCATTTTGGGCTGGCTTTCATTGAAGGCATTTAAGCAGAAGAGTTTAAGGGAATCTTGAAAGTCCATTTCCTTGACCTCATGTATTTGATGAACTCCTCCACTAACAAGTTCATGCTTATCTCTACTTGTTACGATCACTCTACTCCCTGGTCCAAAGCAAACTGATTCACCAACCAGATATTTTAGTTGTTCTGAACTATGCACATCATCCAGCACAATGAAAACTTTTTTCCGACTCAACCTTTTCTCAACATATCTTGCTTTGCTTGTGCCATTTCTACGTAGATTTTCTCCATCCAATAGTTCAGAAAGAAGTTTTACACGTAAAAAACTCAATCCACATTGTTCCAATTCTTCTCTTACATTCAAGAAGCAGCAACCATCATATTGAGGAGAATATTTATCAAATACAGCACGAGCAATGGCTGTCTTACCTATGCCAACCATGCCCCAAATTCCAAGAAATATAACTTCTCTTGAATCCAGTATCAATAAGGATTGAATCTGTGCAATATTTTGATCAATTCCAACAAGACCATTTGATTCACTTGGGCAAAACTTGATTAGTTTTTCCAAAACATCTTCCACAATTTCATCAACGAGATCAGATTCATTCCTTGCAGGTAGAAGGAAAGAAATATAAAGAATGGAATGAATAGGGGAGGGGGGGGGGGGGGGGGGGGGGGGTGTATAACAAAAGACAACATAGAAACAAAAACTCCATGCATCTAAGATACAAAATTTTCGTCCATTGACTACCATCAAATGACATAATAAATCTGAAGCAGGCAGGCCGTGCAACAAGAGTACCAGCGCACTTCAAAGATTATTTATTTAGTTAATTTCTATTTTATTAGGATAAGATTTTATTGCAATTATTAGGAAGATTATTCTTTATCTTTCTGTTATTTAGTTTAGCTAATAGCTTCTTATCTTTCGGTTATTTAAATTCCCAGTCAATAGCAAATTAGGATTGTTAGTTATTTATTCCTTTTCCAGTCATGATTGTTGAGTTATTTAATTCAAGAAAACTATCAATGAAAATCAGAGATTAATTTGGTCAAACTTCTTTTTCTTCTCTCTATTCTTTTCTATCCTCCCCTTCCCCAATACTTATCCCTTCATTGGTGCTTTCATTCAATCTCATTCTCCCATGGCAGAAAATACACGAATGTGTGACATGAATCAACGCATTGACACCTTGGAAACCCAACTCCAAGCGGCTGAAGTCGTGCGTGAACAGCAATACTTACAATTGCAGGAATCCCAAACAAAGATGCAAGAATCTCAAACTCAACAATTCAATATGCTGCGTCAAGAAATAAACCGACCTGTGGAGTCACACATGGGCAACAACGGTTCTGGTGTTCTGGGCACCGGTCCACACCGCACCCATACCGCCACTTCTGGCCAGCATCACCCACAACCCATGAAAATCACCTTACCACGCTTCTCTGATGGAGATCCCACCGACTGGATATTTAGTGCAACACGCTATTTTGATTATTATCACATTCCATATAATGGGGGGTGTATAACAAAAGACAACATAGAAACAAGAACTCCATGCATCTAAGATACAAAATTTTCGTCCATGGACTACCATCAAATGACATAATAAATCTGAAGCAGGCAGGCCCAAACGTGAAACAAGAGTACCAGCGCACTTCAAAGATTATTTATTTAATTAATTTCTATTTTATTAGGATAAGATTTTATTGCAATTATTAGGAAGATTATTCTTTATCTTTCTGTTATTTAGTTTAGCTAATAGCTTCTTATCTTTCGGTTATTTAAATTCCCAGTCAATAGCAAATTAGGATTGTTAGTTATTTATTCCTTTTCCAATCAGGATTGTTGAGTTATTTAATTCAAGAAAACTATCAATGAAAATCAGAGATTAATTTGGTCAAACTTCTTTTTCTTCTCTCTATTCTTTTCTATCCTCCCCTTCCCCAATACTTATCCCTTCATTGGTGCTTTCATTCAATCTCATTCTCCCAAGGCAGAAAATACACGAATGCGTGACATGAATCAACGCATTGACACCTTGGAAACCCAACTCCAAGCGGCTGAAGTCGTGCGTGAACAGCAATACTTACAATTGCAGGAATCCCAAACAAAGATGCAAGAATCCCAAACTCAACAATTCAATATGCTGCGTCTAGAAATAAACCGACCTGTGGAGTCACACATGGGCAACAACGGTTCTGGTGTTCTGGGCGCCGGTCCATACCGCCACTTCTGGCTAGCATCACCCACAACCCATGAAAATCACCTTTCCACGCTTCTCTGATGGAGACCCCACCGACTGGATATTTAGTGCAACACGCTATTTTGATTATTATCACATTCCAGATAATGAGAGGGTTTTATTAGCTTCTTTCAATTTGGACAAACCAGCCTCTTCATGGTTTCATGGCCTTTTTAATGATGGGTTGTTTCCCAATTGGCCTGCCTTGTTTACGACTATGCAATGCCGTTTTGGGCCATCAGAATTTGAGGACCCTGCAGTTTCTTTGGCTAACCTTCGCCAACAGACCACCGTTAGCGATTTTCAAGCAAATTTTGAGATCATCGCTAGCCACACTCCATGTCTCTCTCCAACCCTTAAAAGGGCGCTCTTTATTGCAGGCCTTAAACCCCACATCAGGCGACCAGTCCTTGTGCAACGACCACAGGATGTCCATTCTGCTTTTTCATTAGCCAAGATTTTTGAAGACCAGCAATCTGACATCAACAGTGGTCCCCGACAACAATGACCATGGATACCACGCCCATCCGTTACCAACAATAACAACACAAATACGTTTTCCACCAACAAAAATCCTACTTCATCTCCATCAATACCAAATAAACGCCAGACCGCAGAGGAAATTCAAAACAAACGTGACAAAGGACTTTGTTTTGGCTGTGATGAAAGGTATGTTTTCGGACACAAATGTAAAGAAAAAGCCACTTTGTTATATTTTGAAGGTACTGACGATGATATTGCCCAACCAATGGAGGAAGACACTCAAATTATTTCGCCAGATGCAGACCCTATCCCTAATTCTTTTTCTGAGATTAGTTTGAATGCCCTTTTTGGTCATTATTCCCCTCGGTCTTTCCGATTAACGGGATCAATACATGGCAAACAGGTCCAAATACTGGTTGATGGAGGTAGCACCCATAACTTTATTACTCATAAAATGGCCACTTACTTGGGACTTGTTCTACAAACCGTTAATCCCTTTACAGTCCAAGTAGGCAATGGCGAAGGGTTGCAATGCAAGGCCCTTTGTTGTGATATTCCACTAATGCTGCAATCACACACATTTTTCTTGGATTTATATGTGTTGGACCTACAAGGCGCTGATATAGTTCTAGGAGTTCAATGGTTAGCCACATTGGGCCCCATTCTTACGGACTATGGAAAATTGCTAATGAGTTTTGAACACCATGGCAATACTATTCAACTACAAGGACAACAGCCAGATACTCCACTGATGATTTCACCGGCGAAACTTAACAAGCTTATTGCTTGTAATGCCTACACTTCATGCCTGATGTGTTTTACCCAATCAGACCACAATTACACCATTACCACACCTTCACACACTGATCCCACCCCTCATACAGTCCCTGAAATCCAACAATTATTGGCCAACTACTCTGATGTCTTCACCATTCCCACCATATTACCCCCCAACCGTCCCCATAATCATCAGATTACTCTACTTCCCAATTCTAAACCTGTCCAAGTTAGACCTTACCGTTATCCTCATTTCCAAAAGAATGAAATTGAAAAATTATGTCAGGAAATGCTTACGTCCGGTATTATTCGACCAAGTCAATCCCCATTCAGTTCCCCTGTTTTATTAGTCAAAAAGAAGGATGGAACTTGGCGTTTTTGTGGACTATCGGGCTTTGAATGCTATAACTGTGCGTGATCAATTTCCTATACCCACAGTGGATGAATTACTAGAAGAACTCCATGGAGCTACAGTTTTCTCTAAACTGGACTTGCGGTCTAGATACCACCAAATTCGCATGAACTCTGACGACATCCACAAAACAGCATTCCGTACACATCATGGACACTTTGAATTCTTGGTGTTACCATTCGGTTTGACGAATGCACCTTCCACTTTCCAGGCTACAATGAATGAAGTATTTGCACCATATTTATGGCATTTTGTCGTAATATTCTTTGATGATATTCTGGTTTTTAGTCCTAATTTGACAGAACATGTTCAACATTTACTTACAGTTCTGGAAACTTTAAGTTCACACTGCCTATATGCCAAACTTTCTAAATGCTCCTTTGCTACTAACTCTATACACTTTCTAGGACACATTGTTTCAGGCTTCGCACCTGACCCAGAAAAAATAAAGGCAATTTCAGAATGGCCCGTCCTAAGACGATTACACAGGTACGCGCTTTTTTGGGTTTATCAGGATATTATAGACGTTTTATTAAAGGATATGCCAACATTGCATCACCAATTACGGACCTACTTACCAAAGGCCAATTCAACTGGACACACGAGGCTCACACGGCTTTTATAGATTTAAAGAAGCGTCTCACTGAAGCGCCCATTTTAATGCTGCCAAATTTCAGTAAACCATTTACAATTGAAACAGATGCGTCGGGTTCAGGTATTGGGGCAGTTTTACTACAAGATGACCGTACTATTGCTTATTTTAGTACAAAATTATCTTCCCGAATGCAAAACCAATCCACATACATTAGAGAAATATATGCAATTACCGCGGCAGTTAGCAAATGGAGGCAATATCTTTTGGGATCCAGTTTTATCATTCGAACTGATCACAAGAGTTTACACCATATGATGTCTCAAGTGATCCAAACACTAGAACAGCAGCAATTTCTGGGGAAATTATTAGGATACCAGTACACAATCACTTATAAATCTGGTATCACTAATGCTGCTGCTGATGGTTTATCCAGGCAACTTCAAGGGGATAGTGAAACCCCAGTCGCACGATTGGCATCCTTATCCACATCCAGTTCTCACTATTTACCAGTATTACAGAAAGAATTACAAGCAGATACCTATACAGCAAATTTAATGGGGGAAATACAGTCATCCAAAGAAAAAAAGGGAACTGGGATATTAAAAATGGACTACTACTCCACCGTGGTCGTATCTTTCTGCCTGAACACTCTTCATTAATTCCGAGTCTGTTGAAGGAGTTCCATTCAGCACCCATCGGCGGACATGCTGGAGTCCGGCGAACATTGTCTCGTTTATGCACATTTTACACATGGAAAACAATCAGAAAAGATGTACAAGAATTTGTGAAATTTTGTGAAGTGTGCCAAAGGGTGAAACCCATTAATCACTCACCTTATGGCTTATTACAGCCGATTGAACCTCCTACAGAAATTTGGTCCGAACTAACAATGGACTTCATCACACATCTGCCACCAGTCCAAGGACTCTCTGTCATCCTCGTTGTAGTGGATCGTCTCACCAAAGGAGCACATTTTATTCCATTTCCAGACCGGTATACTACCTCCGAATTTGCACAAGTCTTTTGGGATAATGTCGGCAAAATACATGGAACACCAAAGTTCATCATCACTGACCGTGACCCCATTTTTCTCAGCGCTTTTTGGAAATCTTTATTCCAACTCCAAGGCACACAACTTCGTTACAGCTCGGCGTACCACCCCCAATCAAACGGACAAACAGAAAGGGTCAATCGAACATTAGAACAATATCTCAGAGCATATACGTTTGAGAAGCAGAAAGAATGGTTGAAATTTTTACCTTTAGCTGAGTATCATTACAATACTGCATACAATCGCAGCATAAGTACATCTCCGTTTGAAGCTACGTTTGGCAAACCTCCCCCATGTCCACTACGCTATTCGTTGGGCACATCAACACTCGAAGCCGTTGATTCAACTCTGCACCATCGAGTTTCAGTTCTGCAAAATTTAAAGGAACACTTAAAAAGAGCACAAAACGCAATGAAAACACAAGCTGACAAGAAAAGATGTGATTTTACCTTCAACATGGGAGATCTGGTCCTTCTACGCTTACAACCATATCGGCAACTTTCCTTGCGTGGCCGTTCATCACAAAAGTTAGCACCCAAGTTCTATGGACCATACAAAATACTGGAAAAGATATGAAAGGTGGCATACCGACTAGAGCTCCCACCGGACGCCAAACTACATTCAGTTTTTCACATCTCCTTACTACGACCATTTTATCACCGTAAGGACAGACCCCCTCCGCAATATCCAACCTCCATTGATACTGAAGACCTCATCCATATTCCACACACTATACTTGCAAACCGCAAGGTTTGGCGTCAAGGAAGACCAATCACCCAGCTACTTATCCAATGGACTAATCTTCCTCAAGAAGCTGCTACATGGGAAGACGAAAAAAATTTGGAAAGATGGAATGGAGATGGCAGCATTTCACATGCTACCGAAGGAAATGGGAACTCAGTTTATGAAGGACCTGTGATTACTTGCTCAAAAGACTCTGTTGTACCTCGTGCAGATACAACTCATGAGACCCAAGCAATACACGCTGCCCAAGGAACTAAAGAGCCGTTCCAAAGAAATTCAGCGCACACTACCCAACGCGACAATGCAATGGCCACTGCTGTACAAAGTGATTCAGCGCACACTTCCCAAGTTTCTTACACTGCCCAAGGTTCTCACTCTACACTCCATCAGGAATCCAATGCTAGCACATGGGATAAGGCACATACCCAGCGCACCAATCAAACTCCCCCCAGCGGATTCACAGCCAATGCATGCTTGCCAAGTCAGCTTCATCCAGATAACACTTTGAACCCACATGCACTTGGACCGAAAACAATGAAGGAGACTAAACCAGTTTATGTCTCACACAATTAGCCCAACGTAGGATCACCTATAATGGGCCTTGAGGACAAGGCCTGTTCTGATGGGATGGGGAATGAAGCAGGCAGGCCCAAACGTGCAACAAGAGTACCAGCCCACTTCAAAGATTATTTATTTAATTAATTTCTATTTTATTAGGATAAGATTTTATTGCAATTATTAGGAAGATTATTCTTTATCTTTCTGTTATTTAGTTTCCTAGCTAATAGCTTCTTATCTTTCGGTTATTTAAATTCTCATTCAATAACAAATTAGGTTATTTATTCCTTTTCCAATTAGGATTGTTGAGTTATTTAATTCAAGAAAACGATCAATGAAAATCAGAGATTAATTTGGTCAAACTTCTTTTTCTTCTCTCTATTCTTTTCTATCCTCCCCTTCCTCAGTACTTATCCCTTCAAAATCACTTTCCCTCCGGCAATAATATCTCTCTCTAAGAATCAAGTTTGAAACGGCTGCAGTGTTTGACGGAAAATGATATAGAAAACAGAGGCTAAACTTCTTATTAACATTCAAGCAATCAACCAGAAATGCATATTATAAAATAAATATATAATAAGTAATTGGTAAAAAAGAAACAGTAAAAATTTATTTGAAAAAAGAAAACATACTCAAAATTCTTGGGATAATGAAACCCTGATAATAAACTCGCTTTCTTCAAAGCAGATCTCAAACTTTGTGCCTCCTTGAAATTTTCTTCATGTTTAGCTAAGGCATCTCCGTATTCTCCACGTTGGTGCCGCACATAAGATGGATCAACATTGTAGAAAACAGGAATTAAGATTTGTTCATTTGTTTCCTTGCATTCAATCATTTTGGCAAGCTCTTCCAAGCACCACTTTGAAGAAGCATAGTCTTTAGAGAATATGACCAATAAAATCTGTGATCCTTCAATTGCTCTGAGAAGTGTGGATGATATTTCATCTCCTCTCTCAAGTCTGTCATCCACATAGACATCAATCCCCTTGCGGCGTAATTCCTTTATCAAATGGCTAAGCAGACCACGCCGAACATCGGTGCCTCTAAAGCTGATGAAGACATCATGTTTTATTTCACTAACTTGAGAAGAAGAAGAAGAAGAAGATGCCATTAGAGAGAAACAAGAGCAAAATGTGTCTTAACGGATCTGGCCTCAAGGCCCTCCCCCAACACAAGTAAATCTTGTGCTACCTGCAAACAGCAAGGTATCAGTAAAGGAACAAACAACCAGCATACACTGAAAAGTGAAAACTACGGATAAATAATTAAATTTTCAGAACACCTACTAAAATTAAAAACATATGACACGTAATTTTACTTACTCCATCCACTATTTTATTTTTAATATCAGATGAGTTGATATATTTCTAATTTTAGTAGGGGAGTTTATACATAGTACCCAAAATTTACTCGAAAAGTAGAAGAAAAGATTATCATGTAATGGTTTGAACTTTGAACAAAGATATTGACCGAGATATCTCAGTTATTACAGTCTAAAAACCCGGCTTTCAAAAGAAGATCAACACTTGATACAAGTTGGAAAGTTTTAAAGATAAATGAAAAACCTGTAAAAGCCATCAAGCTATTGAAATAAGGGATCTGTGTAATCTGTATGTAGCATGTATACTTCTCCTTGAAAAATTGGGAAAGCTTCATTATTTCCTATGCTTCAATCAAGTGCTGAGGATGAAGATTTGTTTGAGGACATATCTGATATTTCAATGTGAAATTGCTTCATGAAACAAAAAGCTTAATCATTTGGAAAGGGCAGGCCCAAATGCCGACAGGAATGTCCAAATCCAATAATATCTTTAACAGCGTATACTATAGTCAATGTCTACGACGACTCCAAAAAAGGTCATTGATCATTTTGATTGGCTTTAAATCATACCCCACACGTAACAAGGTAATATTAATAAAATCGCAGACATACCAAATCCCAATGGAACTTCACCGTTAACCACTACACTGTACGACTGAGTCATATACTCATCTGTTGGTAAGCTACTTGTTTGGTTTTGACGGGGCTTTTGGTTCACCATAAAAATTTTTAATATTAGAAAAATATAATTACTAGAAAAATGATTGAAAAATAAGTTAGAAAAATGGTTGAAAAATAAGTTTGACAATAAAATGTAAAAAAAACTGTTTGGTTGACCGAAATATTATCAGAAAAATTTATTTAAATTTGCAAAATCTATGTTTAGGAGAAACTTCTCACCTGTTTTTTCACTTCTCCAATTATCTCAAAATACCACGTCTCAAGGATATTCTGTAAGAGTGAATTTCATCCAAAAATTAACACAAAAGTCATTTCCCCATCTATCCTATTTGTCTAGTATGTTTTTCAAAAATCTGAATCAAACGTGGTATTTTCCAATATTCACTTATACTTTCTCATCAATCCCAAAATAAATCTTCTACCAAACACTACCTTGAGTTTGAGCATTTCAAATATGAAAATTGGTTAGAGAAATATAGAAAACTTTCACTGGCTTAAGCTTTTAGATGTGATCATTATTTTATGAAATTATATCAGTGTCAAAAAGTAAACCGGTGCAATATTCATGCAAAGGATTTTTATGTTATGGAATATGTTAGAAATATATAATATACAAAATTTAAAATTATTGATGGCTTTAAAAGCTTTTAAGTTTTTAGTTAAATTGATTCCTTACATGGTAATAAAATTTATGTGATCATGTTAAGTAAGTAAAAAAAAAAAAAGGATTATAATGTGTTAGAGAAATATAAAAAATCATTAATAGGTCTTTACTTATTAACTTAATCTTTCATGTGAAATGATTATTTAAAAAAATAAGAGAAAAATATTTATCTTTTTAAAAGACATTCATTATTGTTTTTATTTAACATTTAAATTAAAAAAAAACAATCCCTCACTTTTTCCCACTATAATTTCTATTTATGTATCAATTTCTCTCACCGTAAAACTCAATAATTTTGACGGACAAACACTAATTCAAAAAATAAAGATTACATAAAATCAAAATAGACACAAAATCACAAGGCGTGATGAACAATGAGAATACCCGCAACAGGGGCTCCATGGCCTTGTTCCCGCGCTCACTCTCTTTTGGACTCACTTCGGAAAGAAACCCAAGGTTTGGAAGCAGGGGAAGATAAGAATGTAGCGTCGTGGGTTTTAAAAGGGAAGATCGTCCTTTAATTTGAGGCTACGAGGCATATTCAGTTTAAAGATTGAATTGAAAGGGGAAAAAAATATATAAGAGAGTCTATTTTATACTTTTTTTTTTTTTTTTGGTAAACTATTTTATACTATTTTTTTTCTTAATTTACAAAATTTTGGTAGAATCATTGTGATCCATAAAATCGTGTGAAATGCTAGTTTAATGGTATGTTTTATCCGTAGAATCATTTAGTTTAATTATAATTCTTTCCCATAATCAAAAGTTTGATGGTAATTAAAAAAGGAAGTAAATGTAGATAGGAATATAAACGGGCTAAACTCGTTTACAAAGGTCTACGGTCTAGCTTATATCAGGTCAGGCTTGACCGATTACATATAGTTAAATAGAGCATATGTAGGTTTTAAAAAAATCTATTTAAAAAATAGACCGTAGGCTTTTTTTTACATGTCGGATCTATAAGCTTACAAGATGGCCTATATCATATTATTTATTTTAAATAAAACAAATAACATTATTTTAATAATAAAGTAATATTATTTTAATTATTTTTTTAATTATTGAATGTTTAATAGGCTAAAGGGTCTAAGCCAAGACTTTTATTTTTTAAATATAGATCAGGTCAGACTTATAATTAAGCTCACACAAGACTAATAGATCAAGTCATGCCTAAGATATTTTAGGTAGGCCTAGGCTATTTAAGCCAAAGCCTAACACCCATAAATGTAGATACTGTAGCCTATTGTCAAAATTTTATTCATGTTACTACTAGACCTAAAATAAATACAAAAAATTTAAGAAATTTAAGAAGGCATTTGGTGGAGGAGAAAATTTTTTTACCTGATAATCAGATTATTGGGAATATAGTTGGAAAAAAAATTCTGAGAATATTACGAAAAAAATATTTGTTAAGCCAAAATATTATCAAAAATATTGGTTAATTTTCCTGAAAGGGTGTTTGGTCGATGCTAAAATATTACTGGAAAAATAGAGAACTTTTACGAAACTATCCTCTTAATAGATAACTTTGAAACACCATTTAGAAACAAAATAATAAAGTAGTAGTGGGCAGATAAGCAAACTTAGGCATTTTGTTTTTCTCCAAAATCTATGGACAACATAACCCTATTTTCTATAATAACAATAATGTCCTTGGAGGGTGTTAAATTTAGCCCTGCTTACTTGCCATCTGGTGTGAGTGTCTTGATGGTTAAAATTGATAGACTTGCTGTTAGCATAGCAACAACGGAAATATATAATTGTGTTGAGGTTGCTAAAATGTTTTCGTATAATCTTTCTTGACAGGGGTTGAATGTGAGACAAGTGTAGATTAGAACATTTCTTGCTACACTATGCTTCCATGCATATCAGTAAGTGAGTTTTTCACTTCTATGCATAATTGTTCCCCTTTATTTATTTATTTTTTTGTGTGGATTCATTGGAGTTGCAAGCACCTGGTAAGGGAGAAGAGTGGGTGATCTAATTAATGTGAAATATAACCTTCAACATGCACAGCACACCCCAGTTTTAGAGATTGGGGCTGGTGACAGTTGAGCTTCACGGTTGTTGGCTATTCAAGAGTGCTTTTACTTATTATTTGGCTTCTTGTCTTTTAACTGCTAGGGCTCATGAGGGTAATTTTGTTTGCCAAATTTGTGAATGGATTCTCAGTACACGGGAAAAAAAATTACCATATGCAAGAAGGTATTTTGAATTGGCTTTGGGTAGTGTTAAATGAAATGTAGGGAATAAAATTTTTCCAGACAAATTTTCTGTTTTCCTTGTACCAAATGTGAGAATAAAAGTTTCCCACTATCACTTTCCTGAGCATCCAAAATATTACTATGTACCAAACATCCCTTAGATACAAACAAGCCTTGAGCCTAAAAGATTAAATAATAACCTACCAAAAAAAAAAAAGATTAAATAATATGGGCCTTGAATCAAAACCAACTGTATAGGCTTTGAGCCAAAATTAAGTGCACAAACCTTAAGCCATATAAAGTGAAATGATATCGGTCTTGAATCAAAATAAATACACTTGCTTGTATTTAAAAGAAAAAAATACACAGGCCTTCAGCCAAAACTAACAACCTCTACATGGCCCTTGAGTCAATATTATTGAGTCAAAACCAAATGCTATGAGCCTTGAGGCTAAACTATATGCACGACCTTAAGTTGAAACTAAAATTGGGGTCTTGAGACATACGTCTAATATGGCTTTGAGCCAAAATTAAATGCGTGGGCATTAAACCAAGGAAATGATTATATTTACAAACTTCTTGTTTACAAACTTTTACAAACTATACTATGTATTAGGAGTAGTATATTATGTGTTGAAATGTATTACCCCTAAAATATAGTATAGTTTGTAAGATTTTATAAACAAAAAATTTGTACATATAATTTTTCCCGTAAACCAAAACTAAGTGCTTCCGCCTTTACTCATAAAGCTAAATGATATGTCCCTTGAGACAAAACAACATGTATAGGCGCCTTTAGCCGTAAAGCAAAATGGTATGTGCATTGACCCATGACTAAATGCATGGGCCTTGAGCTAAAACTAAGTGCATATGCCTTAAGACATGACTAAATAAATAATACGGGCCTTGAACCAAAACAAAATGATACGAGTCTTCAGCTATAAATTATAAATTATATTTGAGAAAAAAGTAAATGACATGAGCCTTCAGCTATAACTAAATGGTCAAAAAACTTTAACTAATCAAATCTGTATTCAAAAGGAATATGTTGTGAATCTCCTCTTGCTCAAATATTAGCCTTGATCATCCATTGAGGAAGAGAATGTGAAGATATTTTCAACTTATGGTCATAAAACTTTATTAGTTTAAAAATCAAAATGTTAAAACTATACAATTATTCGTTCTTCAATTTGTATAACCT